GTCCGGATATGTCAAAATTTTGGGTATCAAATTTGTAGCAAAGAATAGACATTTTCCGGACAATTTCTGGACATGCCAGATTTATTCTGGACAATTTCCGGACATTTTCGTAGACATTTTCCGGACATTTATTTTTTATAGGGTATTATAACCGTATTTAGAATCAATTCTGATCACAAATAAATCGTAAAGATCTACTGTTAGCTAGAAAAAAAATTAAACTTTTTACAAACCTATCATGCATTTGAAGTATCAAACACAAAAAAAGTTACATGCTCGTCATATATACAAATAGATTGGGAGAAAAGAAACAAATAATAAAATTCTATATAAAAATAAAATTACAAATTTTCTTTTTTTAAAAAAAATAATTAACGCCATAACATGTTTTACAACCACCAATATTCCTGATCCTACACATTATCCATACCAAGTACCTTTTTCCATTTTAAACTCCATACACGCAACTAAATAGTGAAAACTAAACACTCTAATTCGTCAACGGGAATACCTGCTTACAAAGAAGTTTCTATACCTAAGAATGATATTATTCCTGGTATTAAATTTGTGGCAGGATTAAATTTTATGATTTGCCGACCGGAATTAAAACTTTAGTATAAACGCAAATATCATATGTCACGTGATTTGTGATGTCGTGATTCGGGCCGGCACTATAGTTTCGATAATCGAGTTTAATCGGATTTTTGATTATCGCAGTTTTCAGGATTTTGTGTAGTGTGTACGTTGTGATTACTGAGTGATTATAATTACAGAACGATTACAGGACAATTACATGACAATATTGTCCGATTTTTGTCCGGTAATCGTCCTGTAATCTAATAATTTTTTTATTAGATGATTTTTAGGGTGGCACAATTTTGACAATAAAACGATTTTGGCAGAATCGATTCCAACTAAATGTACTTTTTACTAATACTCCTAATCTAAGACAAATTATTATAATAATTCAAACTTGATTTTTTATAACAAGAACTCTGGTATCCTAAATTCCCTGATAACATTTCGCCATTTTTAACAAATACTCCAAATCCCATGTATGTACTTAATTACCTCGCAAATCCAAGCAGCCTCACCCCATAAAAAAATTCTGGAAAAAACTCCGATAAATGATCATTTTCTAGTTTGTATTCCGGAGAAGCTCAGACACGTGATCATTTTTCTGAAAAATCTTTTATGGGCCAATACGTATTTTTCTCCTCGCTCAAGTCCTAATCTCATTAAAGAAAAATGAATGATATATCATGGATCATGGACCAACTTACAACGCTAGATAATGGATTATCTCTTGTAAGTTAAAAATCTCAACAATAAAAAATCTAAAGAAAATACTGGATGGTTCAAAAGACTTGAAGACGATTACACTTTAAGTAATTTTTGACGCCTCACTCAACCAACCACTGAAAGATTTTCTGATCCAATAAAAAAAATACAAAACACCTAAATAGCAGAATACAACTATGCAAAAATATCAAAAATATTACTTTATTTGGATAACAAACAATGTATAATACAAAATCAAATTATACATATAACAAATATAAATAAATAATAAGAAATATATAAATATTCTAATAACAAATAAAATGTTTGAAATTTAAATAAATAAATAAAAATAAGTTATTAAATAATATTCTTATTTTAGTGATAATATCAAGAGTATTATTGACTTAATTGATTCCTACTGTTAAAATTATCTTTGGTTAAAATATACCCAATTGAATTCAAAATAAACTCCTCTTTTTTATTATCAATCTTCAAATCTTTATAGTATGAACATAAAACACAAATATGTAAATCTAAATTAATAACTTCATCAAAATCTGTTAAAGGAATATCATTTGATTCATTATAAATTGATTTGATAATTTGAAAAATAATGTAATTATGTGACCATTCAATTAGCTTAATAACATAATTAGGCTCATAATTAGCTAACTGATTGCATGCATGAACAAAAATAGTGTATCCTTGAGATAATGAAAAAGAAGTTTTGATTAAATAATTTAAATTGTTAGGTTGTGATATAATTGACTTTTTAATACAATTAACCTGGAATTCTCGATTACTTGGACTAAAAGCCAATAATTCTGAAGGTTTTCCAACGAACATCCATAAAATGTGACATTCTTTTATATCAACATTTGTTTTTTCTAACTTTTTTATCATTGCAAAAAATCCATTCAAATCATATGACCCAAAATTAACGTAAATTCCTTCTAATTTTGAATTATCTTTTGAAATAATTGATCCAAATACTTTATAATTATCATCTTCCAAAGATAATTCAATATTTATACGTTTGTAATATTCAACATCACTATTATTTAAGTCTTTCAGATCAGTAACTCCTGTCATCAATATTCTATGATTATTTTGTAATAAATCATCTATTTTTTTTTGTTGTTGTTCTTCAAGAATTTTGTAGAGAGGAATAATATTATCAAATTCAATAATTTCCAAATTACTTGGATTTTGAATCCAATTAAGTAAATCATTTATTTCAATAATTTTTCCATTTGGTGTTAAAAAGTACGAAATATTTAATTCGTCTATATGCAATTTAAATGATTTTGGATCTGAAACAATAGTTTCAAATTTAGATGAGGATAAAGTTGGCAAAATATTTTTAAGAGATCTTCCTAAAATAATTCTCTGTGGAAATAAATGACCATATTTATTAAAAATATCTTGTAAAACTTTTAATGGCATCATACTATTAAGTGCTTCTTCTATGATATGCTCAAATTCTTTTGTAGGTCTAACATTATCCTTATTTAAGAGAATTTCATATTGTTCACATTTGATTAGAATATGAAGGTAATTTCCATAGCATTCATTATTACTTTTAATATGTGATAGAAAGCTTAAACTATCTAGTGAAAAAACGTCATTTGAAATTAAACTAGCTTCTAACTTTGTTGAAGGTTTGATAAGTTTCATATAAGATTTGTTACTTGTATTTACTACCGGAATTTTAATAAAATTAATAGCGGTTTTCTTACTAATCTTCATCTCACAATTTTGATTGAATACTAATCCTTGAAAAAGTTGAAAATCTCTAGTCCAACTTGCCAGATTATCGCTTACTGCATCTCCAATCCATTCTTCTAAATTTAATATCTCTTTAAAATTAGTAACTTCAGGTTGTTTTTCATCTAAAAAATCATCTGTTGATGACATAATTTTTTCTAAATGTGAAATAGGAATGAGACTATAATAAGAAATTATAAAACCACTTTTTTCTTTATCTTGATACAAACTATTCATCCATTTGTACAATTTTTCATATGTGTTCAACTCTTCCCCATCCAGTGTAACTATTTTTGGCAAAAGATTTAAAGTGAATAAATTGTTAAATGGAATCTCCATAGAATATTTGGCTGAATTATATATACAAAATAAACAAAATTTTAAAACGTCAATTTGTGCTGGAGTGGCTAAATTTAAATCCTTGATAAATAATTTATTACCAATTAAGACTTTTCTTGCATAAAAACGCCCATATAACGTATGCGAATTTGCATTATTATCATTCATACATTCTGAAAAAGATTTCAATAATTCGCCTTTATAAGTAATTTCAGCAATTGGAAAATTAATACACATATTGGATGGTTGTAATGTATTATCATAATTATCTTTGTCTATAAACAAATTATCTAATAAAAAACTTATATCAGCATATACTATAGGTTGTCTATTGTATAATTTTACTTTCAATTCGCCATCTTCTTTGAAAATAGCCTGACTACTTGGTTGTACGTTATACCCATTTAACAATAAACCATGATTCAACTTTAACTGTTGAATTATTTGTTGATTATTATTTATAGGTTCAATAGAATTTATCATTGCCTTTGTAATAGGGAAATTAATATTTGATATAAAAAATTGGAACAAATTTTTAACCAAAGTGGAATTATTAATGAGATTACTAGTATCAGCACTCCTTTTAAAATTTTCTGACTTTTGATATAATTTAAATGCCGTGTGCTTATTAACATTGGTTTCAATTCTATTATCATACTCATATACTACCCTAGATATTTCATCTGTATTCCCTTTTTTAGATAATTTCTTAAACATTCCAGAAGTTTTTTTATAATCTTTACCATCACTACATTCTTGTTTAGCTGATTTTGTATGCTTAAATATATTTTTAAGTTTATCGATATTGAACTCGATAGATTTGGAAATTTTGTAAGATTGTTCATTAATTTCTTTACGCTTAAGAAGGTTAAATTCTTTAGTTTCTTTTTTAAAATTATGTTGTGCAATTTTATTTGTGTCAACATTTTTCCGAGATAAACCAATTCTGTTATTTAAATTCTCTTCAGAAATAGACATTTATTTTATACTTTTTTTTTGGAGTTGGAAAGTTGTTATTGATCGACAAAATGCACAAATTTGGTACAAGTATAATATATATAAAAAAGTGGTTTTGTGTAACCTTAGAAGTTTATATCACACAAGGATTTACTTTTCCCCTTTTTTTCAAAATATACAGTTACCGAAAGTTATTTTAATAGCAGTCCGGAATTTTAATTATAGAATATTGTCATAAAGTTGTGGATTATGGATATTTTCATAAGTAATTTTGCAACAAACACATTTGTACTTACAATATAATTTTCAAACTAAACAGGTAAAAAATGTCTAAGAAAATTTGTTAATAAGGTATGGAAATACTTTCATACTACTTTTCGTAAGTCCAGCTTGAAATTATGGGTAGTTTTAATAATATCAAGACGTATTTTTGTAATTTTTTACTTTCGAGGTATAGCTTGAATGCTTTAGTTAAAGAAATAAGCAAACAACTTAAAGGTTATTCAATAAGTATGGAAATATTTGTACTTTAATTTTCGCTTAATTTTTTTTTGTTTTTGTAATAACACTAGAACACGTTCTTTTCGCCAGTGTTAATACAATATAGAATGTACTAGTTGTTAATCTTGATTCCTGATATCGATTTTGGCAAATAAGCTTTTACTAACAATAAAATTAAATAAAAATACTATCATGGTTCATTAAATCGTTAATTGGCTATATTTATATTAATATGTACAAAAGTACATCATATTTTTTATTCTTTAATATTCAAAAAAACATGAAGATGTATAATTTTTAAAGGTAATCATAAATTCTTGATGCGCGCGAAAAAAAGCCAAAATATTTTCAAGTGGCCGATGATTATTTTATTTTAACTAGGGTGGCGTCAGGAATCAAGTTGGCACGCTCTTTAATATTTTTTTCAGTTAATATGTTATTTATTGTGAGTTGTGTATTTATGTTTTTGTTTGTAATAATGTAGAATATATTAAGAAAAAATCTGTTTATGGATTTTTTCACTTTATTATCAATTCTCTCATCCACTTTTAAGTATCTACATTTTATATTAAATTTGTCAGCAACATTTCTCTTTCCAACAAATTCATTAACATTAAGTTTGATACTTTTAAATAAATCATCATCATCTTGTACTTGTCTTATGACGTAACCAATGAGAAAAATAAAGATTGAACTTATCGTCAAATGATCACCTGCATTAGCTGTCATCTAATTTTAATTTTTTTATTTTTTAATTTTTAAAAAAAGAATTAATAATTATTTTCTTTTGGTGTTATTTTTTTTTTACATAAATAATAAATTAAAAATTACCTCCAAAATATCATCAGGATGAGGTTTCTCATTGAGAAAAATTTTCCTGTAAACCTAACTACATCACCAGATGTAAAATCGGGAATCCTTTTTGGAACTGATGGATTTTTTGGAAAAAAGGAAATTATTTTTAAATTCATTGTGTATTATCTTCTTCTAATAGTTTCTTTTATAATAAAATCATTACTTTCTCATTCAACAATTGAATGAATTACACAAATTAAAGTGGATTTTTCTGGCATAGTATTTATTTTTTTTTTTTATGTAAGGAAATAGATACTTTTTTTTACAATATTTTTCTTAAACGATTTTTTTTTTGCTTTTTCTCTTTTTTTTCAAAAAAAAGAGATATTTATTAAATTTTTTTTATGAGTGTTATTAATTAAATTAAAAAATGAAGTCAATATTTCTTCATAAAAAAATAGAATCATTTTTTTTTTTATGATCAAATATTTTGATGTAATTATGTAATTATTATTTATTTATTATATTAAATAATTTTTTATTTTTTACGCTTACATGATTACGTACACGATCGTCATTTTTTTGAAGTTTTTTTTTTTCAAAAAAAAATATATATATATATATTAACCCGCCATCCGTAGAGAAGCTAACTGCGGATCCAATGCTTGAAGCTTGAAGCTTGAAACTTATGCTTAAGCCTACACTTAAGTATATGCTTCAAGCTTCAAGCTTCAAGCTTAATATAAAAATGCTGGAAAAGTTTAAGCTATATTTGGGCATCAAACTAACCATATATTGAATTTCATGGTAGTACGATCAACAAATTTATTAAAATAATACTACGATTAAAGCTAAACACATTACACAAGCTTTTCGGCATTCTTATCTTCAAGCTAAATAAGAGCGAGGTCTAGGTTAAGGCCTTAAGAGTGTTCATACATTACATATTATTTCACACGATCAGGCTTGCGTTTGGCCAAAAACTAACAAATTTAACACCACAATTAATTATTGTCTTAATTTAACTAGAAGCACCATATCTCGAGAATGCTTACATTTTGGTTTAATGATAATAATTTGATCATTGGTTTCTTGTATTTGTATAAATATTTATCATTTACCATTGAACGTTACCCAGTACGCATCTCTTCAAGGCCGGTACTATGTAATGTTTCCTGGCATTTTGACATTATCCCAAAAGATATTGTGATTTTTTGGTCATTCTACGTATGATATATCTGGACTTTTTTCATGTATAGTTCAAACCCTCCACAAAAAATAAACAATTTTAAAAAATTCTTTTAAAAAAAACTAATTATTGTACATTTATGTCTTATTCATGTAAAACGCAACACACAATTCATAAATTATTCTAAGCAAAAAAATAATAAATTATGCAGGCATTTATAAAAAATTGTGCGCAAACCTGATAAATATCATACTTATAAATTATAACCTTGCAAGTGTATAGTTTGTCATAAAAAGTTCATAAAATCAGGAGAAATAAACTTAACAAGAAACTTTTATTAGAAGCAATTGAAAAAAAAGGGAAATCAAATTAGTTTTACACAATTAGGGGTCGAAAGACGGCGATAAATTGACTATCACGTGTAACTTTTTTTAAACCTTTTTTTTTAGCGAAGTTTTCCTTTATTTTTTCCCATTTCTTTCGCTTTTCTCTTCGTTCTTTCTCCCTTTATTGTTTTATAACTTTTTTAAAAAAAAACTATTTTTTTACGGGTTTAAACCGGTTTATACCTTTTTTTTTATCTCGTATTTTATTTAAAAAGAGTTAAGGAGTACCCACAAAAAAAAGTATCAAATTCTATAAAGAGAGCGAAACTCTACTATAACGTTCTGATTTTTTTTCTTTTTTTAAGTGGCTCCTTCAGTTTCCTACACAACATTTTGTAAGTTTTATAAAAATTTTTCTTTATTTTAACGAACAGTTCGTTTTTTCTTTTAGGCAAGTTATTCAGTCTCTTGGACGCTCGAGATTTCATTTTTGGTAAGTTTTTTTCTGTTTTAGTGTTTTAGTTCATTTATTCTAATGAAACGTGTGATAACGTCTGTTTTTTTTTAGATGGGCCAAGGTAATCGCAACTATATTTTTTTCGAATTTAATTCTTTTATTTTTTAGGTGACTTTTTGGGACACGTGATGTGAGATTTCGATGGAAATTTTTTTTAAATGATTCTTTTTACGAAATGTCTTACTAACGTTTCAATTTTTTCTCTTTTTATAAGTAGTTAAGCCTTGAACGCGTAGAATAAACGGTAGGGGATTTCAGATTTTTTTAAAAATTTTTTAACAAAATGCTTCTTTTTTTTTTAGATGGCAGGTAGTACTTCAGAATCTTTGGATGCACGAAAATTTGTCTTCGGTAAGATTTTTATCTATATTTTAGTTTATTTATTGTAACAGAAATATATTTTAACATTTCAAATTTTATTCTTTTTTTTTAATTATATATATATATATATATGTATGAATTTGTTAAAGTTCAGACATTTTCTTTTTTTTAGACAGTTTTAGAACGCGGATTTTGGTAGGTAAACGAATATGTTTTTTTAATTTTATTTATTTAACAAAATGTTTCCAACATTACGTTCTATTTTTTTTTTATTTAGACAAATCTGGACACGTAAATTTGGTAGATTTTTTGTAGACATGTCTGGAACATAGATTTTGGTTAGATTTGGAAATTTTTTATATTAACAAAATGCTTTCTAACATTTTATCATTTTTTCCTTTTTAATCGGGATGCTACTAGGAAATCGAAGATTTTCTTGGTAATCATTTTTAATCAGATCTGGGATGTGTATTTTGGGGGAATTCAGAAAATTTTCTCTTTTTTGAATCTGGACATTTAGGACTTTGATAGGAACACAATAATTTTTTAATATATTTCTTTCAACGAAACAGTCTCTGACGTTCTGTTTATTATTTTTTTTTAGACGAGTTTGGAAAGTAGGAATTTCTGTTGGAATTCAGTATTTTTTTTAAAACAATTTTGGAGCATTGATTTCGGTGGGAATCTCATTTTTTAATGAAACGCTCACTAATGTTTCATTTTCTTCTTTTTTAGATAGCTTAAAGAACATGTGGAATTTCGATGGAAGGCTAACCTTTATGGTTTCTTTTTGCACTTTTTTAACGATATGGTACTGACGTTTCTTTTAGATGGCTGATACTTTGGATCTTTAGAAGCACGGAATTTTAGTATGGAAACCACAGTAGTTTTTTTTTTCTTTAATTGATTTAACGAAACATTTTCTAATGTTTTGTTTTCTTCCATTCAGATGGTCTAAGCGTGAATTTTTAGTTGGAACTCAGAACTTGACAAATTTTTTTCTGGAATGTAGATTTAGTGAGTTTTCAGTAGGTTTGTTGGGTCTTTTATCTTTTATTTAATTACACTTACGTTTCGTTTTTTTTTTTTTTAGGCGATACCATAATATGTTTTTATTATTCTTCTTTATGTTTGAAGTATTATTTAACTAAATTAATTTAAAGTAAATGAATATGGGAAAGATGAAAGAGTAAACGAAATAGGGAAAAGAGGAAAGAGTGAGAGAGGGACGAAGGGTGAGATACAAGTTTGAAAGAAAAATTCGAAATTTAAAAAGAATGGATTTTAACTTTTTTTTTCTTTTTTCATAGGAACTTTGGAACCAGCTACCGGTTTGGATCTTTGGCACTTGGGAGGGTATTAAAACATTCTTTCAACAATCCATAGTTTTTTTTGGTTTTTTTTTTATGTACGCGGATTTTGGAAGTCTTTTTTTGTTGTTTTTTAATTCATTTATTTCAGCGAACTGTTATTAATGGTTCCTTTTTTCTTTTGCAAATGTTTTATTAATCTCTTGGACATGTGAATTCGGTTGGTATCCTCAACTTTGGCCACCTGGACTTTATTTTGTAGGTCTTCTTAACTTTATTAGACTGTAATTTTTGTAGGTTTTGATTTCAACTTCTTCGAACGTGAATGCTTGGATTTTATTTTGTAGGCCTTTCACTTTGACTTCTTGGAAATTCTTGTAGAAACTTAACTGATTTCTTTATTTTGTAGGATTTAATTCTTGATGTTGAAATTGACTTAAAGGTATATTAAATAAGGGAATGAGAGATGAAGAAAAACGTTAATTATCATTAATTTTTTTTATATTATAGGAAGTTAACTCTTTGATCAACAAACTTCAACTTAAAGGTAGGTTGAGTGATTTTATTTATTTATTAGAAATGTTTCGTTGACATTTTTCTTTTTCATCTTTTGCAGATTGAAATGTGGACAATATTCCTTCAACTTGGACTTCAAATCGTTTAGTATTTTTAAATATTTTAGAATAGTTTAATATTTTTAAATAAATTTTACAATAATTTTACAGTATATTTTTACAATAAATTTAACAATAATTTGTTGCTATTTATGTTAAATATATATGTTAATAAATTAATGTTACGATAAATTTTATACTAACTATTGTACGATGTCCCTACAAGACCAATAACGAGTATCTTAAAAATTTTAAATGTATTTTAATATTAATATTACAGTACATTATATATAAACTATATTAACTATTAAGTTGTTAGCAAAAGTAGTATAGCTATGGTGCATAACACCTAAAGGCATGAAATTTATTTTTATGCTGATCATTACTAAATAAAGTTAGATTATTACTAAATTTGGGGACCCGTTAAAGCGGGTAGAATCACGTGATTTAAAATTATTATGATTTGATAAATTTTTTATAAACTAAAATTAAAGTGAACTTGAAAATCATTAAATAAGTGTNGAATCTTAAATCTGTCTCTTATACACATCTAGATGTGTATAAGAGACAGACATATGAGCAAACGAATTTTGCTGATCATACCCAAAAAAGGATAGATCAATTTTAACGAAATTGAAAAAGTTGAATAAATCGAAAACGGTGTTCTAAACCTCATTTTGTGCTCTAAGTAAACTTGCAGAACAGGTCAAAATGCACTTAATATATGTTTATTTGGAAGGTTTTATATATAATAAAGAGTTTTATTTAAAAAAAAAGAAAAATTTCGAAAGTCACGTGATTCTACCTGCTTTAACGGTCCCCTAAATTTGGTAATAAAGATGTTGATCATTTTATGTATTATAAATTAAATTAATATGATTGGTTAAAATTATTTTCACGTGATTAAAAATTCCCATTTACATATAAAATTATATAAATTAATATGAAAATACATCAACTTTAAATCTTAATAGCTCCTGAAATATGATAGTTATGAAAAAAATAATCCGATAATTTGAAAGAAAAGAACTTAAAGTATAATATTATCGGTTTATATTTTCAATTATCATAAAATTTTATTAAGTAGTTAACATTTTAAAATCACTAATTTTATTTGATGCCTTTAGATGTTAGGCCATACAAACTTGATTTTATGGTTTTCATAATATAAAAATTTCATCAATAACCCGGCAACCCGGCTTTTAATTTTTTTTTTCTAAAATTTTATATGCAAAATTTTTTTTCAATTTTTAAAAAATTCTCACCCGGCATAGTAATAATATAAAAAATTTTTTTTTAAGACTCAACAAAACTGACCCGGCCGGACTATGAAAACCATTTTTACCACTTTGTGTCGCCTTATGCACCATAATTAACAAATAAGCTGGGATGCATACGATTTGTCATTTCATAAATGAAAACGTAAAACCTTGAAAAATTTTATGCATTTATATGCGCACTGCATGTAAGAGCAAAAAATAATAAGCTCAATTATAACTTATTAATAATGAATAATGCATGCTGTGCCTATTGTGCTGCTCCAATTAATATCACTGAATTTAATGCAGTTTTTTACCTTAGAATGTAAAGTAGATAAATAAGAAATAAATAAAAACAAAAAACAACTTTAAAAATCTCACCCGATAAATAGTTTTTGATTTGAAAATAGAGATTATATATTATTTAATAATCTACCATGATTAATAATTACTACTATGTCATAAAATTTATTTTGACAAAATCGCCATTATTATGGAGTTGAAATGATATTGAAATAATACCTTAATATCAAAATGAAAAACAATATCAAAATGAAATCTAAATTATAAGATATCAAAACAAATACTACTGTATGTTTACATAACAGCTGAACTTTTTAGTGGACGATGAATTATATTTTGACGCGACGGACCGGATAGAGGTGGTTGAAGCATTTACAAATTTAAATGGGGATTTTAGCAAAAGATTGCCGTTAAGACCACTAATACTATCAACGAAACCAAAAGATGATAATTTAAGCTCGGATGATTCTGATTTCTGAATTTCTGAAGAGACAATAAGAAAAATGTAAAAAATGTAAGAAAAAGAAAGCAATAATACGTGGTGATGTAGAATTTGAATCAGATCAGACTGCATAGTTAATTGTAAAATATACACAAAATGTAGTAAATTTTAAATTTAGGCAACAAACTTCATTAACTTTTTCAAATAATTTTAATATTTTATAGCAATTTTCTTTTTTTTCTTATTACAGGTTATGTTTAGTAGATTAGTTAGCATAGTATTCGTATTTTAAAATAGACTATTTAGTTATAAGGTTATTCAATTTTTAAAATTGTTTACCCTTAAGTATTTCTAAAATTAATGTTTATGTGATTTACTTAATAAAGAGATGTGTTACTAAAATTAAAAAAAAAGCCATTATATCAAAACAATATCAAAACAATATCGCAGCAATATCATACTGATTTCGTAACGATAGGTGATATTATAGCCGATATTGTTACGATTATCATTATGATGTTACAATTTTGTTTTGATATTGTTATATTAAAATGAGGTCCTTAAGAATTAAGATGATTTTAATGATCTCGTTTGAAATTTTAGAGTTTCAGCAAGATATATTTAAAATTTTAAAATTTTGAATTAATTTTAATTAATTTTATCACAATTACTTAAATTACAAACTAAGAATATTGTAAAAAATTCTACTACACTAGTAGCGTTTAAATAATTCAAAATAGATCATGAATAAATGATATAAATTTAAACTATAAAATAATGGTGTTAATGTTAATTTAAGTTATCAAAGAACGATTTAAAATCCATCTAAAAATGATTAAATAATTAATAAAATTAGTTAATTACTATAAAAAGAAAGATTATTTTTTCTTTTATCTTACTTTGAGAACTTACCATCAGGAATTTCAAATTCATCTTGTTCTTCTGAATGAAGATTGGGATTATTACATGCTTCGTCCATTTCGTCTATAAAAAAAATAAACAAGTAGAATTAAAAATGGTATAAAATTATTTGTTACGTAATATTTCACCTACCATAAATATCAATATTTTGCCTTTTTATTTGTTGTTGAATTGCTTCATTTTTATCATCTAAATTTTTAGACAAGAGTCACGCTTAGTATAAAATGAAATCAATATAATAATAATTTTATTTGTTGGGAATTTACTTACCATTTGAATTTATTTGCAATTTTTTGAATAATTTAGATAACTTTTTACTACTATCTAATAATTAAGATATAAGTTCAATATTTATTTCGACCTCATTCTAATAATAACTTAAATATATTACCTTTAAAAATCTTAATTATTTTTGACGAATTATTACTGTTCTGCTTATATGACCTGTCGAAATCATCAACTGAAAACAAATATTAATTTATAGACATTTTTATGAAATATTCAACGATGTAGTGTTAAATGCTTACTATTATCAGGAATTTTAAAATCATATGTTTTACTATGAAATACTATTAAAATGAAAAAAAATAATAATATAAATATTTTTAAAAATAAAGCATCATAAATTTATTAATGACAATTTACCTTCTTGTTCTTCTGTTATTTATTAAAAAGAAATTTTATTAATACTTTTATTTAATTGAAAGAATACGTTACAAAAAAAAAATCACTATACCAGATGTTGCATTCCTTGGTTCAGGTAAATAATTAAATTCAAAAAGTTTACTTGTACTACTTACGTAATTTGTTTCTAGATTATGTATTTCTAAGTTACTATTTACTTCCAATTGAGGTAAACTATTTATATATTGCAAAATTAGATAAATTTTATCTATTAATGTATTAATGTCAGGCCTTTTAGATGGATCAGCATCCCAACACAGTTCCATTAAATTTACGTATTCTAAAGGAGTTCCTGGCACAACTTTAGGTCTTATACCATTAACAATCATCAGTGCAAGATCATAATCATTTTCATAATTAATAAATGGTGGTTGTCCAGATGAAATTTCCCACATAAGCATACTAATACTATAAATATCAGATTCAAAGGTAAATTTTTTTCCTACAATAACTTCTGGTGCAATATAAGGAAGGTTTCCATATATGCTTTTTAATGGCTTATTGACTGGTCCACAAAACCCAAGATCACTAATAAACCAAACTTGATTTAGTTGTGAATATAATATATTCCCAGAATGTAAATCTCTATGAATTGCACTTTCCGAGTGTATAACACTAAGCGCAACAGTTATATCATAAATAATATTAATTCTTTTTTTCCATGTAAGTTGATTGTGATTATGATATAAATATGTTCTTAAATCTATATCTGCACTATCCATCACAAGCACATAGTTTCCGTTTGATGGATTTTGTGTTAAACCAAAACATTGTATAATGTGTGGCCATTTATTGCTTATAATCAAATGTGATTTAGCCTATAAAATAGAAACTTTATTAATAAAAAAAAAATTTTAAACGTTAAATGCTTCCAAATAAGTACAAACCTCTTCAAGCCAACTTCGATTTGCATTTTCAACATTTTCTAATTCTTTAAGTATAACCTTTTGATTTCCAAATCTTTTTAATTTTTGCTTTTCGGAATCCCATTCTTCATATCCACCATTGATCCAGACTGCTGTATAAATTTCAGAAAATCCACCTTTTGTTAAATAACAAATATCTTGAAAATTATTATATGGGATCCATTCAACTATCACATTTGGTCTAAGTGTTTCCATTTGACATCTTTGTATTAAATTATCGATATTATAATTTCCAGATGTCCAATTTGAAAAGCTTGCTTTTAAATAATTTAGAACACAATATTCACAATATAATGTAGCCAAACATTTTTGATTACAATTTTCACAAATTCTTCTTGTTCCTTGATTATTCATAATTTTAATTTTATCGTATGTCTTATTTAATTCTCTTATTGCATAAGTTTTTTCATCATCAATAAGAGATTTATCAGCAAGTACTATTTGTTTTTTAAACTCATGTTGTTTATGTATATCATTGTAAATATTATAATCTATTAATGTAGCTGCCCTATTAAGTGCAGCAAAAACTAGTTCCACTCGGATAGAAGACATAAAACAATTTTTTTAAAAAAAGAAATTAACGACCATTTTATGTATTACCTTGTATTACCAAATGTTGTGTAACTATAAATCTAGAATTTAATGCCGCTTGTACGTCTGAAATGCGTGCCACCTTAGTCATGGTTGACAATAGGCTTCGCAGTGTTAACCACTTAAAAATTTTGAACTTCGTAAGCTATACTAAATTTGTATTAAAAATCACTAACCAAGTATTTCTTTAGAATGCAAAAACTTTTTCATGTATATATTTCTCATACGCCGAGAAAGTAATCATGTGCTCGACACAATTCGGTGATTTGCAAGAGTAACTATAAATAAACGAATCGTGGCCAATTTTGTTTAGTATACATGTTCCTTTTTATGTAGTACATACTAATATTCGTGCTAATTTACCGTTATTAAGTCCGAAGTGCCATTTAAATTAATTTTTTTTTTTTGTTATCCCTTAAACTGTTTTGCAGCCAAATTTGCCTGCAATTTGGTTTTTTAATTAAAGACACTTTTAAATACCTTAAAATATTTTATTATATAAACCAATATTTTTGTAATAAATTCTATAGTATTTTCTATGTAAAAATCGAAAAAAAAGTTCAATTTGATTAATGATTTTTCAAAAGTAAATGATCGACAAATTATAACAAATAGTAGCTAAATTTTTTAAATTGAAATATCTTTTTATCTATTAACCCTAGAAANTTAATGATTTTTCAAAAGTAAATGATCGACAAATTATAACAAATAGTAGCTAAATTTTTTAAATTGAAATATCTTTTTATCTATTAACCCTAGAAATATAAAATTACCACCATTTGACGCGTCTCAATAAGAAGAATCTGATAGAAATAAAAATTGGTCTTCTACAAATATTATGTGACAGGACAACTTATAAAATCTAAAAAATTTATAAATTAATATAACTTTTTATCTATCAATTTTAGAGTTATGATTTTATTACCATTAAATGCGCCTTAATAAGAGGAATCTAACAAATATAATTTCATCTTTCTATGATCACTAGATCTTAAGATATTTTAAAAATTCAAAAATTTTTAAAATTAATTTTAACCCCTACAGTTTAAGGGATACGAAGCAAAAATATCATTCTTGATATGTTTATAGTATTGATTCTTAATAGACATATTTATTTTTATATCATTTATGCCGGACGGATATCCGGACCCGGACATTGCATGAACGTTTGTGTAGAAAATATATAGTCCTTCGTTACACTTTGGACTAAATTATTATATTTACGTACGCCTTAATGACCTTAGCACTAAAGTTAAAATCATAATTTGTGCCTAATTAATATTTCTTGTTCTTACATAAAGCGACTTTTTTTTTTAGGAAAAAAATACATAATAACTATTTAATTTTATCTGCAAATGTATGGTATTTTTTTTACATTATTATTGATATGATATTATTATTGTTATTAGGGAATTTTGTGTTTGATAAATGAATAATTCTTTTTTATATCCAACAAATCATTTTCCGGTAGAATATTAAAACTGAATTAATTTCTTTCCCTCTATTTTCTAAATTTTGTAATACATCAATTATATTAGACAAAATAAAATAAAGCTATTAATTTCAGAATATACTAAACCATCCTATGAAGTTCGAAAAACAACGCAAAAATAAGCGGGATTCTTCTATTACTAACCGGCGAATAGTTAACACATTTTTGTTAACAAATCAATATAATATAACTGAAAACACTGAATATATTTCGTCTCTAATTTCTTGGATGATTCATATTCAGTAGTAACAGAATTAGGTATACTCTATTATGCGCGAACATAATACCTAGTCGCGGCTATCTGCTTAAACTACTATAGCGATCGGTTTGCCAGAATATTTATGATATTCGAGTTGACCAATTGTCAATAGAGCCACATTTATTATATCTTATATTAAAGGCCAATCTTAAGCAATTTTCGGCTTGTAATCAAAAAGTAATGCATGCTTAACACTCGGTATTAAATGGACATTTTTTATTAAATGTAGATGGTCGAAATAACTAGGTGTATAATTATTTTTATTTCAATGATGTAAAAAAAATACAATAAAATCAAATTTCGTGTAATAGAACCATTTTATCAAACAAGGAATTGACAGCTTTCTTTTTTAAAAAAATTTACAATACTAATAAATCTATAGTTTTGTGAAATTTTGTTCGTGTTGTAAAGCTAAAGATACATGAATTGTAATAATATGAGCTCTTTGTAACCTACACGTAAATGTTTAAGGCGAACACATTAAAGTCTAGTCTAATTTTTACGTACTTAAATACAATAAATGATAAATTTGCAATCAGTTAAAAAAAAAATCGGTTTATAAGTTCTTATTAACATTATTAACATAGGAATAAAGACGAATGGAAATTTACCAGCCCATTCAGCAAGAAAGATCGATCCGCCATGTCTAACTGATAAACTAATTTAATGAAATTGTACCACAGCTATAAATAGCTTCTCATGAGAAGCATCGAGAATGATCTTATACGGAAATCTCGTCCAGCAAATCATCAGTTAATAAGCGGCGAGAAAATCGATCAATGTTATCTGATTTGGAAAGTCTAATTTGCGTCGTGAAAGTTACAGTATCGAAAAAATTTTTAGTTTACGAGTTGATATCCACGTTCTGACCCGTGTTTCATTATCAAGATTAAGAATCTAAGTAATTTGAGCTCCTTAATAATTAAAAAGGTAATTAAGATTAAATAAATATGTATGTAAAAAATAATTAATTTTTTAAATTTATTCTTACTAAAGTCTCATATTTTGACCGCGTCTTTAAAGTCAGTAATTACGAGATCTTATGGATTCAAATTCAAAAAGTTTACAATAACGTCACATTCAAAAAATCTGAATTATTTTCAAAAAACAAAAAGTTTAATATATATAATATCTTCAAGAACATTATTAATACCTGACGTGAAACGAAATCGATAATGTCATGAAATCTATGAAATGTAAATTGTGTAAATTTTAAAATTCATGATGCAAGCTATAACCTATATAAGATAACGTTGTAATTTCGAATTTTAAAGAAATTATAATACCATAGTATTTCCTGTTATTAAAATCTTTTCGTTCATTGATCTATCAATCACGGGTGAACAATGGATACCGCTACAGTAAATAAATAAATTTAGCTTATTGTTAAATGTGTTAATTTCGTGATGCAAGCTCTTACCAAATTTTCTTGATATGGGAAACACCTTTCGGGGGATTACTTTTCGATTTTGCAAACAATACTCTAATTGATCCAAATAATACAATATATAATATCCATAATAATATCAAGGGGTGACCATTTCTTATATTTATGAAAATTATTTCAAAGACGATTGTCGTTTACTTTAAAATATATAACGTGTTTATTATTGGTAAAAGATTTAAGATAATAATCCACTGAATTGAATATGAGAAAATACTTGATATATAATTTACCTCCAATTAAAGATTCTTTCGCCATAAATTTCGTGCTTTCTTATCAAAATCGTTATTGCAAGTAATTTCAACAAAAGGAAATTTAATGCACGTAATAATGTTTTGAAATAATGCCTTCAGAATTAGAATATACGTGTTCCCTTGTGAAAATTCACACCTTCCTTGTACGCTTGGTCATATATTAAAAGTAAACCATGTTTAAATAGAAAGGGGAATATAAACCATAAGAGAATGCCAAACTACAATGTAAGATCTCATATCTCGTTCAATCGTAACAAAGATAATTATATTCTCGGATGCTGATGTAATTTCTGCCATTATCTAATTTTATGCATTTATTTCAGTTACCAGAATTCTTTATAATAATAATAAAATGGTTAATAAACATCATTAATTAAGACGTTAAAAAAAACAAAAAATTTTATTTACCTTTCCATTTAACCATGAATATTATCTGATTACATCAGGACATATTCCGATATTGAAAACTAAATTGCCATTTGAGTCTATTAAACTATAAAAATAAATAAATGTATATAGTTAATTATGTAAAACGTAGTAAAATTTTATTATAAAATTATAATATCTTCCATGAAAATTATTGTTGACCCCGGAGTAACGACTGATGTTTAAATGATTGATTTTATAAAAATCTTTTAACTTTATTATAAATAATAATGGCTAAATCATTTAACTCCCTTTTCTTTTTTTTTTTTCATTTAATATTTAACTGAACAGATTTTTTTATGATTAAAGATTTTTTAAATATTTTAACTTTAACCAACTTAATAAAAAAAATCCATTATTATAAATTACTTTTAATAATTTTTAAATTATTTAAGCTATTATTAAAATTATTGTTTCATTACGAAGAATTTTTTATCTCCAAAACATTTTTTTTTTTTTTTTTTTTGTCATATAAAAATAATTATTCCTTCTTTTGGATTAGTCGAAAAACTTTGACCCTGTGTAATCTTGTAAGAAAGTCCCCTAAATATTGTTTCACAAGATGGTCAATTTTAGAAATTGGGAGAATGAAAATTAATTATTTATATTTTGATCTCATGAGATTTTGACATAGCGTTTTTTCACGTATTCTGGATGGAAAATTTTTTATTTCAAAAATTTGTACCCTCAATATCATTTTCCATTTGTAGATCATAAAATTGAGAAAAATGAAATTGGATAAATAAAAAGAGAAAAAGATTATCAATAAATAGTGATCGTCTGATCGACAACCACCCTTTTAATAAAATCGTGAACCAACGTTTTCAATGAATTTGCTATATTTCTTATATTTAAATTATTAATTAATATTTCTATGGAAATTCTATGAAAGCCAATTAAAATTGAAATTGAAAATATTTATAATTTGTTTCGTCCATGACTATTTTTGCATAATGTGTTACCAATCATCCCAATCATCTGTACAAAATAACTTCACGTGAACAAATAAATATCCCGATTCATATTTAGTGACCCGTGAAAAAAAAAAATTTTGTGTCCATTATAATAATTGATATATGTATGTAATGTTACATTTTAATTAGAGGTGCAGACTTATTGGATAAGTCATATGTCGTAACTAGTTAAGTCATATAAATACGTTTAAAAACGAGTTAACTCTATAGGTATATAATACGTATCCTTTCCTTTTCATTCCAGTTTATGTGAGCGTGTTTTTTTTATACTTTGGTCAATTTATAAATGCTTCATTTTACAAACATTTGTGTTTCTATAACTTTTTCACATTTAAAAATAAAAAAAAATAATAATTAATCCGTGATCTATGAGTCAACTGCAGAAAATGGTTATGTGGAAAATAATTTTAGGAAATAAACTATTTGATACTTTGAGATAAATATTATATGTTGTTGTATGGGTTCATATAAAGTAAGGAATGAAAATCGGGCACACACTCGAATTATTAAAATTTTTTTAAGCGCAATATAATTTCTTACTCGATATATACTATACTGTAAACTGTTTATGTAATAAGTTAAATTAGTCAATCAGATAATTTGGTAAAAATGTAATATTATAACAATACTTCGTCAAATAACTGTCATAACGTGAAATAACCATAGTGATACCATGTTTATTTTTATTTTGATTTTGATTTAACAGGAATATAAAAAGTGGTATTCTTATTATAAATTTCCAATATTAGTAATATTTGTTTTCTAAATTAAGCGACAATTCTTTTTTCATTAAAAAAATGATGTTTGAAAAAATGCAGGCTTAAATTTTCACATGTAGTAATTAATATCACATAAAAGCCAATTTGTTATTTAAACACGGTCTTTTTTTAAAAAAAAAAAATGCAAGGCTCTTCAATTTCATATAAATCAGCGAAAAAGAGCGGTAAAACACCAAAACATTAATTAAATCGTACTCAAATCACTTTCACAATCGATATTTGGAACGAATTAAGATCTAATCAAGAAATGTCTCTTTCATTAGAAACGTCTGTTTCATTGGAACGCTCTGGACCCAGAGAGACTTATGGTAAGTGTTCCCTTTGTAAACAACAACGAATTGCGACGATGTGGTGTGAACAATGTGATATTTTGAACTTGAAAGAATGCTTTCCAAATTGGACTAGTGGAAATTCTATAATAGATGAGTTTATTAGATTTACTCAATTAAATGCTAAGGAGAGTATGGACTACCTTGAATGGATTGATTTTAATCAATTTGATTTGATCAAGGATATTAATGATAAAGGAGCTTTCAGCTCGATTTATTCAGCAGTATGGACGGAAGGTCCGAGGTGGAATTTAGATGAAGAAACCGAAATATGGACTCGTACTGGCCCAATTAAGGTCATTCTAAAAAGATTAGATAATTCTCATAATTTAAGTCAAGAATTTGTAGATCAAGTAAGTAAAAGATTAATTCTTAGTCCGATCATGTGCAGTATTTATATAAACTGGTCAAAACCGTTGAATTCTCGTTAATAAAATCGGCGATAAGTAAAATTAATAAAGTGTGAACACGAGTTGGAGTCAATCGACTCTAAATTATTTCATCTGTCCTATAAAAAAATTTTTATAAATCGATCAAATAATATATTAAAAAAACGTTTTGCAACATTTTTTTTTAATATTTTAATAAAAAATATTGCTTTTTCATAAATTATTATTATTATGTCTAAATTTTTTGAATAACCAGGTAATGTGTTTTTTGCCCGCACTTTGACTCTCGTTAATCCTGTCGAATAAATACTTGATTTGGTTTACTTAAGTATGTTTGAGCCTACTCGTTTCAAATAAATTTTAAAATTTACCGAATATGATAAAAGTAGCCAAATATCGTTACAATCCGCAGGTAGTAAATCCGTATCTGCGAACGCACTACATAATACTATCGTTAATTTAGGCCAAATATAGTGGATCTAACTCTTTAAAGCTTGAGAGAATGTTTGATTCCTGAATTATTATTACCTCAATTAATAGTAAAGATTTATGAATTGTAAACTGAATAAAACTCTAAAAATACTTTATTATAAAGCCGTTAACGAGATAATGATTGACCATTTCTTAAATAAATCACGATCGGATAAAAATTCAAGAATTTAGATTATAATATCATCTAATTTGTTTTAATACTTATTTACTAATTATTAATTAATTTAAAAGTTATATAGATACCATAAATGTCTGAAAAGTAGAGCACTTGCAGATTGTTTTGGTATAACCAAAGATCCAACATCATGTTACATGCTTGTTATGAGATATTACAAAAACGGGAGTTTATATTCGTATCTTAAAGAAACCTTGGGAGTACTTTATTGGAGAGATATTGTAGATATGTTATGGTCAATATCCACAGGCCTTAGTTATATTCACAAACATGGTCTTGTTCATGGACATTTACACGGTGGAAATATATTAGTCGAAAGTGATGTGAACTCGATTGAAACTATGATTACGGATACTGGATTACATGGACCCGTTGATAAACAATTATCTCCAAAACAAATTTACGGTGTAATTCCTTTTGTTGCACCAGAGATTTTTAATGGAAATACGCCAACTAAAGAATCCGATATCTATAGCTTTGGAATGGTCATGTGGATGTTATCAGCTGGTGTGCGTCCTTATTGTGATAGACCTCATAATAAACAACTAATTCAGGAAATCTGCTTAGGATTAAGACCGAGCGTCGTAGATGGAACTCCGCCAGTTTTCTTCAGTTTAATGATACAATGTCTAGATGTGAATCCATCCAATAGACCAACAGCGTCTCAGCTTAACGAATGTTTTGGAAATTGGGTCATAGCAATTTGTGATAACCCTGACCCATCTGATTTATCAAATCAATTTGACGCTGCCAAAGAAATAAAAATCTCGAATTTGGAAAATTCTAATTTCAACGCTTTCTCAAATCACCCAAAAGCTATTTATTTCAGTCGCCCATTATGGTTGATTGATTAATTGGTTAGGATTGGCACTTTTTCGTTAAATAGTATATTTCGATTCTCAACTCCGATTTCCGAGATTTTCCGAAAATCTCACTATAATTAAAAAATCAATTTCTCTTATTATATCATTTGTTCGTTTTCGAAATCACAAACTCAAACTTAACATTTTATTACTTTATCTATGCAGAAGTTTTTAAGGCTTTTCGTTCAAAAAATTAAGTACTCATTCCATATTATATTACAAATATTACAAACGCGATTTTTTTTTTTCATTTTTTTTTCGAAGTTTCGTTTATTACTAGTTACTAAATATGCAAAGAATATGACATATATATAGAATAATATATTCCTTTTTAATAACAATAAGTTAATAAGATAAGGATCTATACTAATGGCAAATCTTATAAAATAATAGCAAATTTTCTCGTAATGAAATTTTATCTGGAATAAATTATTTTCCCTATAACAAATTTTTCACAAAAATGATCACGTGCCTGAGTTCGGAATAAAAACTGGACTCAAAAATGTGCACTCGTTTTATACTATACTGTACAATCTGTACATGCAAACTTTATTATTTTTTTTTTTTTGATGCTCATAGTAAACTCTTTATTTTAATTCAGTCACAAAATATTATCATCATCTTAATTATTACTAGTTTACCATCAAATTATTCTAATACTTGTGATTACATTAAATATTTCTCGTAGAAATAAGATTTAAGAATTATTAAGTAAAAGGAAATCTTAAATAATAAGGATTTTTGCAAACAATAAAAGGAAAATATATGCAACGATTTCAAAGGAAAAGATCATCTTTTTGCATTGTTATTCCCGTAAATTTATCATATTTACGGAATTTATAACCTCAAAACATGAGAATTATCCAAATTTTTTATAGATTTTTTTTAGTTCCTTTTCCGTAAATGTATCACATATTCACGGAATTTTTTATAGAAATTATGGATAAAATTTTTTTTTACAAAGTTACAAAGATAAAAAAAGGTATAAAAGGTATACTAATTCTAATTATAAAAAAAAACACCCTTATTTCATTTTAATTCTTTTCTCATTATATCTAATTAAGAAGAAATAAATTTATTCGAAATTCTTTTTTGAGGAGAAAAATAAATTCCACGTAAACATTTACGTCACTGCACATATAATAGCACCCCCTTAAAATGTACTATGGTAGGATATGGCGCAGCTGATTGTTGTGGCGCAGAAAATTTACAAAAAAAAATGTGTTAATATAATAACTTTTTTTTTTTTTAAAAAAAAAAAGAATGAATGTATTTTTTTTACTTGATCTGTAAGCCTCAGTTAATAAGCTGCCAAAATGTTTGATTTTGCATTTTTTCTTTTTTTTTTTTGATTTATTCAAAGCAGAAACATTTTTTTTTTTCGGCGCAAAATGATCAACACATTCAAGGGGCGCAGGGGCGCATACGAAATACATTCAAGGCGTCATAATTATTGTAAATGAGATTTATTTATATCAAACAATTGATAAAAATAAAAAAAAAAATATAATACTAATTATATTAATCCTGTCTCTTTTTCATTCATA